CCTAGCACATGACACTGTTTTGCAGGTCCTGCAAGCCCAATTTCCTGAGGCGTCTAGAGCCGTTCATTTCATGTAACCCTTGCTTCAATCCACGAGCGGTTGTCCCACGCCGCGAGACATTGGCTTCTGTTTCCCATGGTTGGAAGGTTTTCGAGTGTGGTTGTGTGTACTATCCTCGTTCATGGATGCAAAAGGTCATTTCCAAGTTTTTTCATTGTTGTTGCATGGCAACAAGCATGCACGGACCGAACAACCGACATGATAGGGCGGGCCAGCGCAAGGTGTTGTGATGCCGGTCACGAATCTGGCAATACCATGAAACGAGGTTTTGCATACAGAACCTAATCCACCGCAGGGCCGTTTCTCTGCAGATACAACAGTCTTCCTTTGTTTTTGAACAAACGTGAAGCTTTCGAAGTTCCTCATTTTCGAATTCTCGAGCTTGAGTGGCTACTTCGAGCTCAATCTCCCAACCCTTCTCAATCTCCCAACCTTTGACAGTAGCTGCTTCGAGTTGAGTCTTTTCTTTCCTTTTGTGTTGCATCTACATAGGCATGGGCCAGACATACAGTCAACGAGGCTCGAAATGGATGGCTGGAAAAATGCCAAGAGTCTGTCATGGGCCACGGAGTGGCAGCTTGGAGTCTTTTTGTATTGGTTTCAGCTTTGATCCTTCAGTTCGCTTGCAGAAAAAAATTCAGTATGCTGCATTGCGGTTCAAGTTGCAGTTCAAGAGTTTTCGCTGGGTAGATCACATCAAGCATACTTGATACTGAGACCTCACAACTCATTCAGCGTGTCAAATTTTTATTTTCGCTGGGTGAGTCAGTCGTGTTTTCGTTTCGGCGATTGAATTGCGCTGGTGGGTGCAACGAAATATCATAGCCTATTACTACGCGTTTTCAGTCGTCGTGTGTATGTGTGTGTTCTTTCTCTGATCTCTCGGCAGGTTCGTGCGAACTTGACACATACTCGGCAGTTCGCAGTGATTGCGTGGTTGTGTGTTGCCATGCTAGCATGCGAAATCTTTGACCACCTGGATTAAATTCCTATGATGTTGAGCAGCGGTTCCCGGCGAAAGGTCATGAGCTCCACAATGGTCGTAGTGCGACCTGCGTATCAATTGCGTTTGTTGCAAGACAGCTGCAATAACAACACCGGGAAACAGGATCCATGGCCCAAAGTTGTACATCCCATTTTGCTATGTGGGAAAGCTTGGACCTGCCGTGCGTTTCTGTTGCCACGACTCCACAATAGCGGCTTTCCTCGTGAGTACAACTATAAAGTACGCGTGCGTGCGCTCGTGTGTGTGTGTGTGCGCGTGTCTGTGTGTGTGTGTGTATGTTTGTGTCAATGTGTGTGCATGTGTGTGTGTGTGTGTGTGGGTGGGTGGGCGGGTGGATGGCGTGCGGGGCTACACTCTGTTCTACAATCCTTCGAGCGGGCTGTGTGATTCTTTGCACAGGCAAGAGTTAAATGGTATGATCCTCGGCGAGCCTACGGCTTTTGCTACGTCTCCATCGAGCTCGACGGCGTTGTCAAGGCCGAATTTCTGGCATGTCACTGGAGTCCTACTGCCTGTTGAACACTGGTATTGAATGCTATGACTGGGTCGGGTAGGCCGCGGTTCTCGGGAGGGCGGATTCTTCGGCAGCTTGCTTGTTCCTGCGAGCTGACCGACGGCTCAAGACTAGGCAAAGAGCAGACGCAACAATCATCACTCGTATGGCTCCAACAAGTCATAAGTCATGGAGGGACGACGGTTACGGTCCTGTTTCACAATGCCCAATACGTGTCGCGTGTTTTGGCAGGAGGTTGAAGCTTTCTTCGGAAGAGAAGAAGCGCAGGCCAGCAGTCGAACTTTGACGAAGCGGGTGAATCGATGGCTTCTTCGGATGCGAAGCGCTTTTTTTTTCTGTTTCCCTCGGCCTCGGTTTGGAGAAGGGCCGCAAAGATTCCAAACCAGTGTTTGGCAGTATATAGTGGTTCAGCCATCCCTGCCAGTAATCACGGTATCTGTCATTCATGGCATGAAGCAGCGAAACACATTCGAGAAGTCGTTCCCCACATTGGTGAGCGTTTTGGTATTGTCGAAGAACCGTTTTGCATGCGGTTGTCTGTTTATCCACTGTCTTCTTCACCGGAATTTAATCTCATGGGCATTCGTGAGCATTCCCAGAATTCCCATCGTGCAGGGCAGACGAACAGTCCCGTCATGGCCCTCAATTAGCCATTCCCGAGAAATGCGTGAAGACGAAGCTGTCCAGAAGCCAGAGAGGTTCCAGGATGATTGAGCTGACAGTGGACCATGTCGGGCAGGCTGCACGAGATTGTGGCTTGAGTCTGTCTCGTGGAGAAGGTCTTCTGTGTGACCTACTGAAGGAAAGGCCGCCTGTGTGTGCGCGGCTGGAAACTTCACAACTGTAGGTGTCATGGGAGTCGGCAGGTCAAGTGGGCGTTTTCTTGCTACGCAGCTTCGCTCTCGATCCACAGGCCCGATATCATGGGCACTTCAGATACAAGTCCAATGCACTCACTTTGCATCTACCGCAGCAGGGCCGGATGAGACTTTTCAAGATTCTGATCGTCTTCAGGTTCCCAGTCGTTTCGATATTTGCGGGCCTGTCTTCATCGCGCCACGTCCCAGGAGTCGCTTCAAACCTTAACTGATGAGCTGGAGACCGAAATCATGTGCGGACTTCAGAACGGGTCGAATCGCGTCGCGTTTTGGTGGTGCGCCTGTCGAACCTGTCCTCAGGCCAGCGCTGAGCTCCTTGGACCGCTTCCCTGCAGCCGCAGATCGCTTCTGTGAGCCGCCAGCTCGGCAAATTATGGCACACGGAGTGCCAGCCTGCAGCATGTTGTTCAGTATACACGGCGGCAGCCTAGAATTTCTGGCCTCTCCGCTGGCCGTGAAGCTTCGATGTCCTCTTCTCCGTCGTCGCGCAAAAGTGAGTTTTGCTGCACAAGTGGTGAGCTCCTGTACCACTGCAAGAAAGCAAGTGCTTCGAAGTGTCTGTCCTCGACGTCATCGCCATCGGGATGGTGCTCAATGAAATTTCGTATCAAAGACACATGAGCAGGGGTACCATTCACTTTTTCATCCGATGGTCCAACGAAGCGATGACAGCGAATGCGGACATTGGGTCGGATACTTCGTGCCCGCAAGGCTTATGACATGGTGTGTATGTACGTGACTTATACTGTGAGCTGTACACTTTCTTTTCAACAATCCTGTACGCCTTGTTTGAGGTCCCAGCCCCAAAAAAGCCCACCGCTTAACATGCTGATGACGAGGATGATAACGATGATGAAAAAGCGATGAAGGATGATATAGATTTTGATGGCGATGATGACAACGATGATGACAACCATGATGATGGCAATGATGATGACAGGGCGATCAAGAAAAGGTTGCTGCGCAGAGACATTTTTCCCCAGACCTGTTTTCGCCCCACAAAATTCAACAAACTTGCCCCAACCTTCAAAATCATCGGCCCCACCAGTGCATTCGCCTTCTCTCCTAACGCAGGCTTCGCTGTCCGGCTTCACAGATTAAGTTCAGCCGTTTTTTTCTGTTGAGGCGGGGGTGGAGGCTGGTTCCTTGTTTGAGACCTGCTCTGGGGACATGATTATATAGGATACTGACGGAAGCCAGATCTGATCAACCTGGTATGCTCGCATAAGCTTGACTCCAAGCTTGAACGGGAGCGACGGCCACACCTTTTCCGATTGAGACCCTTCTTTCGGTGCACTCAACGAGGCTCTTGGACACAGTGTGGAACGAGCACTCGGCTGCCGGCCGAGCCCAACTCGAGGCTCCAAAGCTGTCAGAACTCTGCAAAACTCTGCCACGCTCCGCTCTGCTCTGCTTTCCGCTTAGGGCCATGCTCGCCATGCCCCGCTGAGGCCTTCGTGCAGCAGAAGTGCTTCAAAGCTGTTCAGGCACGAAGCCAATCAAAAAAACATATAGAGACCTTTGAGTGCGCATACGCAGTCACACGCAGGCCAAGCGGCCACGCACTATCGAATTGACAGCGCCGTGTCTGGTGCCAGGTCTTTGCGCGTCAAACATTGATGTGCCCCGATCTGGCCTTCAACGGAATCGCATCCGAGAAGATGTCAGCTTGGCTGCGCCGATTGGTAGCAGCTTCGTGGTGGAGACCTGAGACACTGCCGCAAGATTTTGATGCTGTCTGTGTGCGTGTGTGCGCGGACGTGCGCACTGCTCAGGTGTTGGTCTCCGCACCAGCGCCAGGCACTGCAAGAGATGTCCGAGCTTGCCCAGCTCGTCTGTGGGGGCAAAGACAGCCAAGTCGACGAAGTGGACTCTGACTTTCATCGCAGGCGCACGACTGCCGGCACTTAAGGAAGCTACAGTATGTGTCTTTGAGGTTTCCCCTGCTTGTGTCAGCATCGTAGAATCGTACATCAATGTCTCGGTAAACGGCACCAGATATCGCGGGTACAATGGCAAGCCGTTGTCGTGAAGGGCATGTAAAACGGCCCTCAAACATGTTACACAGAGATCTCTGGGTGTTGACTCAGATTCAATCGTGCCGTGCGCTGACAAAAGATCAACAGCAACAATGCAAATCAATGAACTTCGAAGCGTCAGGATTCGCAGCGTTCTCCTCGAACGAACCGTGCGTTTCGTGGCCCAGCACCCAGCCTGATAGCTCGTGGCCACCTCTTTACTCGGATCGGTGAGGTTGTGCTGGAGGCCAGGGATGCCGATGCGGAGCCTGCGTCAGGGCTTGCCTCGGATGCGCTTTCTGCGCTTTTTTGCCTGCCAGTCGGCTCAAGCGCTTAGGGGTCGAGAGGGGGGGGGTGCCAAGGGGTCAAAGGGAAGGTCCGCCGGCCGGGTCTCTCGAGGCTGTGGAATCCCACCTTCTCAAAGCCTTGGCCGCACAGATTTGCAGGCCCGACTATGTCGTGTGCAGCACGACATACGATGTTCCACCTGCGACGAGTCCGCCGACTCAGTCCATGCGGAAAGCACGTGTGATGCATGCAAGCATGTCATGCGTACAGTACAAGAAGGTATGAAGGCTTGGAGGCTGCTCGGAGGATATTTCCAGTGTCATCGCAAAAGTCACACCGGCCACACCTCAAGTATCAGACTTTTCCACATTTGTAATGTTCATGAGCCTCAGTGTTAGCAAGTGTTGACCCAGTTGATTGAGCGTGGGAAGCAAAGCCAAGAGTGCTTCACGTTTTCGATTGCTGGTGTCAAATGTTTGCAGAGAAAAGACACAACGCTTTGTTGGTTTGCCTCCAGTCTCATCAAAATTTTGGTTGGGTACAGTATGGAACACCGATCCAAATCACTCAAGCCGGGCTCCTGTGGCAAATAGACTAGTGGCAGATGTGACAAGTGTTTCGAACTGCTTCGCCAAGTTGACGCCATTTCGGCTCCACTCGCGCGACCGACCTGCCCTTCAAGTGTCGACCAGCGTCGACCAGCTATCCACTGGGAAAGCCCAGACATGTTGAAGGCCTGTAGTTTCACGGTTGCATTCTGCGAGGAGTGCTGTAGTCCTGTGCCCCCGTAGCGACGTCCCGGAAGGCTGCTGTCTGTGGTCAACGAACTTACCGCCTCGGATGTCGCGAATACTCCTCCCATCAACGACAAGCAAGTTAACGGTGTCTTGTTATTTTGTCGCCGGTGCCTACTTCTCCAGTCTCCTGTACTGCTCGCCGTATTTGCGGATCATTTCGGCAGCTGTGTTTTTCGGGTTGGCTGTTTCCTTTATTCAATCAGCTGTGTCTTGCTTTCTGGTAGCTGGCACGCTTACAACCTCAACCCTGAAATCTAGACCCCAACACCGAACCCAAAGCCCAGCACCCCGATCCTTAAACTCAACTCCTAAACTGCGTCTGGGCGGCGCTCAAGCGGCGGGGGTTTTCAAATCCAATCGGGTTTCGGCTTAAATCGTTTGCATGGATGATTCTTAGTCCGCTCTCCAGAGGGGGACGAAGAGGCCACCGCGACAAAGAGAGCGAGAGATCACAAGTAGCCATTGTGGCTCAAGTATCGCACCATTGTTTGGAGGTCTGTGACACCTCCTGCATTGGGGGGGAGGCGCGGGGTTGACCCGAGGTTGTGCCCTCGGGGGAGCTCCCCGCTCCTGCAAACGAGATCGGTCCCGGAGGGCAACTCCGCGCTCTTCCTTGAGGCTTTTGACAACAGCGAGCCCCGCGTGATCGGCGAGCCTACTCAACTCCTTTGACCGGGGAGCGCTGCACGACTGCCTCTACATCGAACGTCGCTTACTTCTACGTCACGGTCGTGACTGTGGCAGCCCGGAGAACATAGGCAAGTCCGCACTACGAGTGGAGCGATGGAGCAGAATAGCTCTAACCAGGACCGGGAAAAACCACCTCAGCACACCCACTAAACTTGGAACCGCGGACAGACAAAGGGGAACTGCCCCTACCCTGGATGCAGGTGCCCCAGAGTGTTTTCGATGTAAAAAAGGGCCTTCTTTCCATGGAGGTCATGAGCGTGCAGATCCTTGTTGTGCCTTTTTCGGCTGCAGCAGTTCAGACCCGAAGGAAATGCAGTTGTTCCTTCGAGAGAAAAGGATCAAGCAGGCTGTGGATCAAGCTCTCCAGCACAGCGCAACGACTTCTTCGGGGACAAGCACAACCACGAGCACTCCTACGACCTCGCTCCCGGGGAGGCACCCCGGCAAGAGTTCCCGACCATGCTTGAGATGCTTGAAGGGGGAAAAAAGCCACCACAAGCATGACCCCAGCGCCGACAACTGCATCTTGTATGGCGTGGACAACCCGACTCCAGCGAAGGCAAGGCAAATGCTGCTGGAAATGGAAATCAACATGGCCCGAGATGAGGCCCTTAGCGCGAGAACGGCATCGAGCTCCAGTACACCGCCTGCTCCTCCCAAAGCCAAGAAAAGACGCAAAGACAACGAACCTGCCGGACACAACAAGAACAAGCGCCAGCTCCAAAGGCCGGTGACAATGTGGACTGGGACGACCCAGATGTGGATCCCCTCCAAGCGATCTTCGGCATCACGAATCGACAGGTGGCTGCACTGATGGCCAGCCCACCGGCAGCACCTACACCCCCACCTCTGCCACCTGTGGACCCAGTCCGTGCATTTGCGAGTCCACCGGCGGAATTGACGCCGCCGCCTTTACCAGGACGAAAACACGAGTCTACTGCTACGCCCACTCCGCCAACGACCACCTGCTCGTCCACTACGACGTAGTCTCCAGCAGCTTCCTCGAGCAGACCAATGGTAATACGGGGAATAACCCCGGAAGCAGCGGGCGCAGCCAGGGCCATTCCGAGGCCACACCAGAGATGTTTCGCACCGACGAGGAGAAGGCCGATGATCAAGCCTACGACCTGTCCAATGCCACGGAGGACTATGCCAGCACTTACAAAACTGAGACTGAGGACAGGCTCGGGGAAGACCTCGAGAACCCTAGAGCCAACAACCCGAACGACACTGAGGTGAACTTGCCCTCGGCTGGGCTCCACCCTACCATCGATATCTTTGACGCAGACCTTGATGAACACGACCAACACCACCCACTACGGCAACCTGACGGGGGGAATGTCAAAGAAGAGGAGACCTACATCGCAGGAGAGAGCCTTTCTCTCCTAGCCTCCCCGGAGCAAACGCAGGCAGAGAGGGAGTACGATGCACATCTACAAGACCTTCGAGACCTTCAGTACCGCGATCTAGATTTCAAGGGGGAGAACAACGATGATACAACAGGGCGCGAACCTCTGCAAGCACTTCCTGTACTACCTCCAGAGCCCATAGGCCCTCCACCAAGCCTGACGGAGCGCCAAAGAAGACGACTGCAGCAGCTCTTCGAGTCCGGCGGGGAAGTCTCCCGCCTGGCCGACACAGAGACTGATGTGATGGTGTGAAGACGATACCGCGCCCAACAGAGGCAAGAATACCGATCTTACAGGCGGGATAAGCGAAGAGCTGGGGACTGGGAGCCCCATCGCTGACAACCTGGTGAAGAATGGCTGGACATGGACTGATGTCAGCTGAGCGGGAAAACCCGCGCACATGGACTCCTGAGTGGCCTAACCCCTTGATTTACGCTGCAATGGAACGCGGAAACTGAGTAACATCGTGCTGTTGTTCGGGGCATTCTTGGTTGTTTGCATTGCTTGGTTTTTTGCGCTTTGGTTTTCGGAATCTGCGTTCCCTAATTCGGGGCCAATTTGAGCAAAGAGCTGCACGGAAAGTTTCTCTCCTTTCAGTGTCTTTCTAAGCTCGGGGGTCGTACCCCAAGCGGGCACCCGGGCACTCTGTATTCGATCTGTATTCCTGTCCATACTCGCCAGAGGAGCTGTGTCTCCCAACTTTTGCCTATCATCATGGTGCCTACAAAAGGGGCATCTTCCCTGACGGTCTTCACTAGGTTTTGGTTGTTTTGTCATATGTCTCAGGGGGAAGCCCTGCGTACGCGTTTGTTGGGTTCGAACTTTCTGTACAGAGATAATCCCAAGATCTCCATGCCATGATGCCTTTCAGTCCTTTCTTTTTGCAACCGGACTCCGGGGTGATCCCAGTGGCAATGTGATCATCACAGTTTGCCCCGTTTGCACTTTTCTGCTTTGCCACCCGCAGCAGTCGGGGGCGCGAGAGCGCGCAGGCTAGGGGGGAAACCCTCTGGCCCCTGACCCTGGCGAAAGAAAGATCACAACAAATTGAAATACCCATCGTCCAGATCTAGAGCCAAATTCAGAATGGCCGAGCCACTTTGGCAGACGTCTCCTGACATAGCTCTTGCGGCTCGGCAAGCTCCTAGCAAGTCGCGGGCCCATCGTGGCTGCCGCAGTCTTCGGACCCCATGGCAGTTAGCATAAAGACCGTCAAAAGTATGACTTAACCCCGTGAGCTTGCTGATCCTGATTCTTATAGGGAATGGGAGCAAGTCTATGATGAAACAGCGGTGGCCCGAACCACCTTGAGCCATGTGTTGTGGAGCCGGAGCTCCGGCAGATGAAGGTGCCTCTCAGCCGGCAGAGCTGCGCCAGGCAAAGACCCAGGTGAAGATGGATGCTGCAGACATGCGAGCCACATTCGACATTGTCCCTCAGGTTGGTGCGGTCGAGGCTTCTGTTGACCTTGTGGTCGACCGCAAGGATATGGAGATGGACCTTGGGCAGGAGACCAATGACAACGACATGGTCACGGCCCGTGCGACTCATGCTTCTAGGTGCTTGAGGAGAAGCTGTTCCGCCTGGAAAGCCTCTCGCCGGACTTTGCTGCTTTCCCATGTCCCTGGAGCGGGGCGAGCGAAGCTAGGCTGGAGAACCCGACCAACTCGGATGGCCCTTGTTTCCACTACCAGGTTTTGCCGCATGTGCACCCCAGGGCCTTTGACAAACCCCAAGAAAAGGATTGCTGCCCTCCAGATGTTTAAAACTCTTGTCGTTTGTTTTTATGGACAAGGCTCCTGTTTTTGTCTCGCACTTGAGAGTCCCCATTGGGACCAAAAAGATGCCCAGGTCGATCATCCTGATAGAGATCCTCCTCCAACTGCACCACCATCCAGTAACGCCCTAGAATGACATGGGCAGATAACGTTGGCTGCACCGGCCCTAGCCGAAGGCTCCGCATGAGCCCTCTTTCGAGCTTTACTCTTATCGCGTCAGTTCTTGAAAATCGCCAGTTCGATGAGTGACTCTTCCTCACCCAGGTGCAGGGTGCCCAGTAAAAA